CAACAATCAAATCTTTCATTGCCCTGCTACCCTGTTTTCCCAAAAATTAAGACCTCCCCAGATCATAAGTCCAATCGGGCTTTTGAGCACATACGCTGAAGTAAGCCCTCTCCCGAAAATGAGCCCTCCCCAAAAATATTGCAACACAGCAGCAGCCGTGAGGTGACCACGCTCGTCTCCTCCTCCCCCTCAAAAATAATAAGACCTCCCCGAAAATAAGGCCAAGCACTTATTTCGGCGGTCAAAAGAAAATTAAGACCCTGTCTTAATTTTGGGGAAACACGACCACTACAGACAGGATGTCGGTAAACCTACATCCTGCTTTTCCCCTCAAAAAGCAACCATCCACAATCAGTGTAACACAGTCACACCAGCTGGGCCCACCCGTCGCCAGAACCCAAAGGTGCTTTTTCAAAAGGCAACTGGGTTTTGTTTTTTCTTGAAGAGGTTTCGCTTCTCATCCAAAAGGGTTCTTCCGTTCTGACTGACTGGCGGGGAATGGAAGGATTTATATTCCTTGCAGTTAGCAGGGAATCTGATTGTTAGCATTTTTTCCGAGGGTCCTCGAGGCCCCTTGGACATTTATTCTATACAGGTGACCCCCTGAGGGCACAGATAAACCTCCAAGTGGCCTCAACGACTCTCAAGAGCGTTAATGATCAGATGGGATATAAATCCTTCCATCCTCCACCCATTCAGTTACTGCCTTAATCACTGCAGGGATTCGCTTAACAACTGCGGCAAGGAAAGGTCATGAAACGGGGCGAAAATCACTGGACTGTCTTGCTTAGCAACGGAAATGTTGGGCTCAATTGTGGTTGTTGTAAGCCGAGGACTCAGGGCGGTATTGGAGCTTGCCCGTTATTAGTCACGACAGTCATAAAGCAGATCGTCACATGACAATTTTTCAACCTTTGTTTGCAAAGGTCGTTAAGTGAATCACCATGATCCACGGGGAACCCCTTACTTGTTATGGGGCATTTTTGCCTAAAACTCTAAATGTGGATTGATTTCCCCAAGGTCCAAAATATGATCACGTGACCACGGAAGGCAAGGAGGGGGTGGATTCGTTGAAGCTTTGGAATCTGGTCGTAAGTACGGGTAGTCCTCTACTTACAACAGGTTCATTTAGTGACGGTTGCAGGATCTCCATGGTCGTTTGATTCACATAGAACAGAAGAATAGAATAGAAGAATAACTTCATTGTCACTTTGAATGTACACTAATCGGCATGCATTAAAATGAAATCTCGCGGCCTACAGCTCTCAAAAGGGTCTCCACCTCTAATATACACGACATAAACAGGAAATAATACAGAAAGAAATAAATGCAAAATTATGGCTATACCCACATACGTTATATAACACGGAATGACAGCACAGTCTTGGCGTGCTTACGGCACAGATGATTTTCGGGTCTCTGCCGCACATGCATGGGGCACATGCATGAGATTTGGGGATGGGGGGGTGCAGCATGCCCCCCCCCCATGCCCTATTTTTGATCCCAGGAGGCTTCAGGGAGGCCTGCTAGGCCCAAAATGGCCTATGGGGGGGGATCGTGCATGCATTATGGGTGATAGGGGAAGCAGGGGGGTTGTGTGCACAGGAGTCGAGGGGATGTTGCACGCGCAGTGCATTATGGGTGTAGGCGCGCGCGCACACACACACACACACACACACACAGGACAAAAAGGTTAGCCATCACTGGTCCAGTTTGCTTGACAACTGATTTACCTGACTTAACACTTGGAACACGGCATCCAGTTTTGGTCACCACTATGTAGAAAAGATGTGGAGACTCTAGAAAGAGTGCAGAGAAGAGCAACAAAGAGGATTAGGGGACTGGAGGCTAAAATTTGGGCAACAAAAACGAAATGCACAGGTACAGTATAGGTGGTACCTTGCTCAGTAGTAGTAACTGTGAGAGGGATCTTGGAGT